GCGATGTACTGATATTAATAACTGTTGTCCGTCACCAGAGTAAAATTATTTAGTGGTGTTAAAGTAAAAATAATAATAGGTAGATTAAACATTTTAAATTTGCTCCAAATTTATTTATTTAACTCAAAAGCAAATATTTGAGTAACATTTTAATTTATAAAACCATTTTTACAAAACCGATGTATTTGATTTTTATGGTCATATATTATATTATACACAATATACATTTATATTTAGAATAGATCACAACAATTGGAAATTGTATCGTACTATACGTAATATAGTTTCTATTATATCTAATACCTATACATTATTTTAATCTACAAATGTAAAATTTGTTATATCATTATTTAAGAATTTCTTTTAAAAATTTTTATTATGAGTAACTAGATACATCATAAATAAAATAAAATATACTTAAATAAAAACCTTGATCTTTCAACTAAAGTGATATTTGATTATAAACAAGGATTTTACACTTACTACAAGTTTTTCTTTTAAGACATTTTCTCGTAACATATAACTATCACAGTTTTGCGCAATCGATTTTCCTTTGATCATTTCTACAGTTATCATACGTCCTCTCGGTACGGTTATTACGTATGTACAGTATAAGCGTCCACTATTTAAAATGGAATACCGAGGAGTATTTATTTCACCACTCTCAACATCGAAAATTTGACTGCAAGCTATCAAAAAAATTAAAAATATCATCAAACAAATTAAAACAATGATTACGCAATAATAAATTAATAATTGCAATTAACTAACTATAAAATATCAAAATTGAATGTGAGAATAACAATAATAAAATAAATTTATTTYAAATAATATCTTGGTTGGTTTCWTCAATGAAATAAAATGTATTTATTATSATTAATTATTGGGGTTTAATTATCACGGTATATGATTAATTGATGACTTACAATTATACTCAGTATCATAAGTCAATAAAAACTTTGCATCAGTATTTTTCAAATAAAAAGGACCATTTCTAAAGTGTGATTTGAATTTGATCACCAATTCTTGACCGGATGATTTAATGGGGTTTGGTGGTAAATCAGAACCAAAAACCTTTAGTAACAATACCCCTAAAAATAAAACAACATTATAAAATAACTTTTGTAAATATCTATAGTAGTATGTATAGCAACTGACGGAGAAAGGTCACGAATGAAAATGTTTGATTTAATTTAAAAAAGGAAACGTAATTTAAACGGTGAAAACCAAAAATTTTAATTTCACACTATAATTTATTACACGGTGCGCACAAGTGTAATAATAACACGATTTTTGCATTTGAACAAAATGTTGTCAACTGATAATACCACGTTTCTGGCTTACGGCTTAATTTTCCATACTACCGTATACTTATTATAGTTATAAATTTACTACTCATTGTTATAATTTAAATAAAAAATTCATTAATGAAAAAAAACATAAATTTAGAATAATTGATTTTTCAATCCCTGACACATTGCTCAGTTTTGAAGTTAGAATATAGGTGAATGATGTATGTACTGGTATTGTTAAGTGGGTCTACGTCGTATATGGATAGCGTGTCATCGTATGTTTCATTGTTATGCCAAACATCCGGGACTACTCCAATGTTGGGAAACCGCCGTTTCAAGCTCACCACGTTGAAATTTAATATAATACGGCGTCTGAAGTCTACAATAATTCGGTATTCGCAATCCATGTTCGACTCATACGAACCAGGATACTTTGGTGACGATATTGTGCCTTGATGTGATCGTCGAGTACCACCACATTTTGCTGTAAAAAATTAATAATAATATTTTACCACATTGCTACATGGGAATAACAAATAATTATTACCTACATTTCTAAAAACAATCATTAATAATATAGAAATGGAAAATTAAACTAAAATGGTATATGTTTYAAGATATTTGATTGAGGTTGCAAATTGCAATAATATCATGGTGTTTTTAAAGTTATCATAAAATCAATTTCATGGCATTAATAAATTTTTATGTTACAGTTAATTAGTTATTTTGGACTACATATTAATTAATATGAAAAATAAAATTTTAAAGTAGTATTCTTAGTAATAATACTACTTATACTAAGCACACATATTATATTAGCAGTGCTGGATATTTTTATTTTCACCTAAAGAAAGATATGTAACTACGAGGCATAAATTACATTTGATTTTTAATGACAAATCCATTCAGTATTATAGGGTATGCGTTCAAATCAAACATATYAYATTAAGCAATCCAATATTTAATCTTAGAATCATCTAAAATAAACTTATTAACTATAGGTACTTTTGAACTTTGAAAAATACCGTACGTAATGGATTATTTAATATACACATTATATAACCTTCAATACATAAAATATTAGTCTGAGATTTAGTATGTTTATTCGTTTTATGTCCATGCATATACTGAAGTATACTACTATTATTTCCCCTATAATAAATCATTATCCTATAGTAACTATATAGTAAGGTATTTTACGTCCAAACCACGAATTGTACAACATCCATTGTTTCATTAAATTTTTCAGAAACAAGTATCTCCTTCTCCTCTCATTTACATGAGTTAGCACATCCATAATAATAATAATATGCCAAATTTAAATAAATACCTATAGTGACATTCAATTTAAAACCATTGTTGGGTACACTTAAATCCGTGAAATACTTTATGTACAAAAAGTTCTCTGTTGTTTCAATATCTTGAACTGGATTATTCCCACAAATATGATTTATCAATTTCGAAAATCGAGCAGCTCCATCTCTAAATTCAAGATATTCCTTTTCACACCTAAAGTTATACACAAAAYATTATTTATTGTGGCATTAATTTGGTCTCAGAAACAATGCAAACAAATCACTCTGCATAGATTTTAAAATACCAATACAATTGTACAACGCATCATATCATTGATAGGTATATTTTAAATGTGTTTTACAAACAACATTTAGTTATAAATCGTTCGAATCATATCAATTCTTAATATCTTACGAAATAAATATTTACTTGATATCCGTTTGATCCAAAACTAAGTCTTCTATGGTTACAGATATTTGTTCACCAGCAGTTGCTACTACCGTCCAAATACATTCGGTGTGTGCTGGAGGTATATTAGGATATGAAGGAGATGTTATTTGAGTAATGTTATACACATCATTCAAATAAATTTGTCCACCACAATTTATTGATTTTTCTTCAAACACTATTTTGACGATCTAAATTTAAGACACTCATTACAATATAACTTTATCTTTCCAGGTTTTCGAAATTTATTTTTTATACATAATATTAAGCATTTTAAATAAAAATAAATTAATTACCACCCTTGTTTCACAATATACTATTTTAGATAAGTAAAAAAGAAAATTCTCAAMATTTTACTACAATTCAATATTACAACAATATATAATATGATATTTATTTAATTAATAATAATAAAGAGATATTTAAAATACATAAAAATAATTTTACGTTATTTTAAATTAATGTAGAAGACAAAGAGAGGCGGATTTTCATTAGTCAGTTACATCATCCACAGATAATAGAGGATCATTTATTAAATAATTGGTTGAGAAGTTGACACATAATAAAACAATAATTATTGCAAGTGTTTTGTATTAGAACCTGTAAGTTTGTAAGAGCAAGAAGGTAAATAAAGAGAGCTAGAAAAAAATTTTCGAAAACGATAAACTAAATAGGAAAGGATGAAAGTGTATTTATGTTTGAGTTTTTTTTTTTTTTAACAGGAGTTCACAGTCTATAAATCCCATACGTCAACCTACCCATACTCAAAAATAGAAGATTAGATAAGAGTACAGAAAATGGATTTTCATGAGTTTGGGAGTTTCAATCATCCAGCTATTCTATTAATAAAACCTCAAAATTTAAATGGCTTTCTGGTAGTGTTTTCGATTTGAGCCAGATTAAAAATATGTGTATTTTGTAAAGCCAAAATCAAAAATATTTGTAACAATAAAAAAAAGGTTAATATTACATTWAAAAAAAATAAAAGTTATACTTACATCATGTAACATTATACTGACTACAACTTGTAATTTATTATCAGTTGTTGACAACGTTGCTATATTACTAGTGTTACAGTATTTACCTTGACCAAGCAGAGGTGAATCTTCATAAAAACCATTTTTCAACTAAAATAAATTATGTAATTATAATAATAATTAGCTACTATCCAGTTTATATACGTATACTTACCAAAACAAAACTATCAGCACATGAAAGAAATTGCATAGTTATAAATTTAACTGAAATAGTTCTTCCTGGTCGTACAGTAACATTCCAAGAGCAATGAAGTGAATACGAGTACCGTGAGTCTATRAGTTGATTAGTTATATTAGATAAATTAATTACTCCTGTTGGTCCTCGTAATGCACCTCCACATTCTATAATATCACATACAAATTATTGCAATGAATCTCAATTTGAATAAATAAATAAATKATTTAAATAATTCTACATACTTAATTTTGCTTGAACTTTAAATCCCGTACCATTCAATGATTTGTTTGAAATGAAAGTTAATATAACTTTATTCTTACCGATTATGTTTTTATCAGTAATTTGGTTTGTATTTTTAAACACTTTCTTCAATAGTATCTTATTTGCGGTATCAGGATCAACTAAAATATAATTATGATGTATAAATAATTAATAAAATAGTCTTTGTTAGGTATTTCATATTATGTGATTATATTTTTTGATCTTAAAATTTAATATATTTTGATAAAATATAAATTTCATAACAATACAGAATACATGAAAATATTAATTTTAAATAATGTTTTTTTTTTTTTTTAATTTTTAATAATGTTAAAATTTAATGAATATAAATTAAATAAAACAAAAAAATAATTACAAATATYGAAGATTTTAGTTAAATAATATCAGTTATTTTATCTTACATTGAAGATAATGTTTTATTACCGGTTTCAATATTAAAGTAATCTTTAAAATAAAATTCAGAAGATGAATGAATGGGATACAGATCTACGTCAAGAATCTCAATTTCTATATGATAATGTGGTTCCGAATGAATTGTCCAAGTTACATTCAGATTAGGTTCATACCCATAAGGATAACCAGGACTTGTAATTATCACACTTGTATTGGAGTTTGGTGATAAATAATAGTCATAACTCGATTTGTTGTCTGAAAATGTGTGAAGTGAATTTTAATTCTGTTTTTTTTTTCGTTGT